GAATGAAGGCTTGCGGCGAATCTTCTTTCCTGCTCGGGGTGTACAGCAGGAGTGAAAGAAAAGCCTGCTGGAGGCCCCGGCTCCTTTGAACTGCTGGGCGCATGCTGCTCGTGCTTGGTGTCTTTGCTACCATAGCATTCTCCTTCCAAGGTCGTTTGCAACCTCAGGCATGTTCCCGGGAAGTTTCCCCCCTGTCTTTCACAGCCCACCTTCCTTGAAGCCTCTGAAAGGTCCCCGCTGCTGTGCCATGCCCTACCTCCTCCCTCGCCTGTGCGTGCTTCCCGGGGTCCCTCCTCAGCCCCCTGGCTCCCGCTGATGTATAATGGAAAAGGGGAGAATTCTGTGCAACAACCCAATGAAATTATAAACACTGGAGTAAACTCCTGAGGTGTGGGTTGGGTTTTGTTTTTTTTTTTTTTCCAGATGGAGAGCCTGGCCACGAGCTTCCACAGAGTGAAGGCTACCAGTATGATCAGTGGTACCAGCCCATGCCACCCCAGGGACCCAGCTCCCATGAGGACGTGTCTCTCCAGCCCTCGGCACCTGCTCAGGTCGCAGCATCACCACTGCTTGGTATTCAGCAAGAGCTGCAGCCCACCACGCTTGGCCAAGGGATGGCCGCCCCTCCAGGAGGGGATTTTGCTGAGTCCCCTCTGCAGGTGGTGCCACCAGCAGGTAGGTGCTCCAGCCTTGTTTCTCTGCAAAAACGCCTGACCCCAGTTAGCAGCAGTGGGATGGGGTGTCCCTCGGGGAACTGTGATCCCCTATGGAATGCGTGTCACTTCAAACGTTACTCCCTGCCAGCGCTGCCTTCACCCAGTGCCTGGTTTCCCTTCAACCTTGCCCAGACGTGGACCCACGCTTGCCCCGGTGCCGTGCATGCAAACTGTGTCCACCAGCGCTGGCTGCTCTGGGTGGGCAGGTCTTCATTTTTGGCCAGCCTTGCCCAAAGCAGCAAGGGAGGGCAGCCACGGGTTGGTGGCAGTGCTGCCGCTTCCCTGCCAGATGGGAAAACCAGCTTCACATCCAGCAGCGCAAGGCAGGTTTTTGAGATGCACCGGTGCAGCCTTGTGGCTGTCTCCCTCCCTAGTGCTGGCGACGACAGGGACAGGGTCCAGAATGGTCTTTTGCATCTCTTGGGGGGACGTCTTGGCCACGTGGCCTTGCTTTGGGGTGGGATGATGGAAGCACTGAAAATACCTCTGATTGATAGACATGGCAGGAGCTTCTCGGCCCAGACCCTGACTGTGTCCTTCCCTCTGCTCCACAGGAGAAGCTGGGGAGCCCCAGGGCACCTCGCTGTCCCCTGGAGGGGTGCAGCCATCCCTCCCAGCAGAGCAGGTGAGTCAGAGGAGACTATCCCATTGGGGGCCCTGGGGGGACTTGGGACTCGCTGGCGCATCCTTCCAAGCACTTAACTTGCACGGAAACCTCCCATTATGGTGCCACCTGTCCCCTCAGGGACCTGACAGGCTAGGGTAGCCATCTCCAGCCTCCTACCTCTGGGACCATGGGCTGCCCACTGCACCCCGCTGTCGGTGCTCTCCCTCCCCACCTGCTCTGTAAGGGATGTGGGGGTCCCAGGGGACACTCTCCATTAAGGCTGGCACGGAGGAGTCCCAGGGACGCTCTGATCATGCTTGGGGTGGCTCCTCTGGGAACACCAAGTAGCAGTTCCAATCTCCAATGCCAGGAGGAGTTAAAGGCAAGGGCTCGGACCATCTCGGAGTGCTCCACCGTCTCTTTGGAAGATGACAGCCAGCCTTCCTCGGAGAGCACAGACGAAGATGCTGCCAAAGAGCCGGCACCAGCAGAGGCGGTGAAGCCGGGTGAGGATAAGGTGAGCATGCCAGAGCTGATCTGAAGCCTTGTGCTCTGAGCTTGCCCGGCCCCAGTGCCCGCCGTGCCTGTCCTGACCTGGGCAGAACGGTGCCTGCTCCTGGCCAGTGCGGGGGACATCTGGGTGGCCATGGCATCCTCCCCTTCCCGCCCATTTCCCTTGACTGTGACAATGTCTATTTCCCAGAGCTCCGGATTCAGGTGGTTTGGCTGGTTTCGGTCGAAGCCCACCAAGGAAACATCTCCCAAAGCCGCATCTGAGACTGCCCCAGGCTCCCCCACGCTGGGACCGCAGGTAGGGGGCGAAAGGCTGTCCTGTCCCCGGGTGACAGCCAGGGTTACAGCCATGGGGACAGGTGACACATCTCCCCCTTCACCCACTATTTCTCCCTCTGTCCTCATGCAGGTGGCTGGGCCATGCACAGCTCTTCGTGGCCATAGCCTCTGTGTGTGGGGACAGACCAGGACTGGGAGCACTTTTAGCCTGGAAGTGAATCCTTGATTAATAATAATTGTAAATTTATAAAGCTTCTTTGATCCAGGAGGTCCTCTGAGCACTTGGCAAACTCTGCAGGCATCGCTTGCCCTCTGCCAGAGCGGAAAGCGGCAGCTGTGAGCGGCACTTCTCAGGCAGATTTTGGGAGCTGAAGGGAAGGAAAACTTCTTTAATTGGAAGCACAGCAGAGGGGGAGAAGCAGCCATGTGTGGTTATCCCAGTCCTGGCCGAGTCCTCAGGGCGTCACATCCCTGACCGCAGGCCGACGGTGGGCTTGGAGGCAGATGTTGGAGCGAGATCCTTCCCTGGAAGTTTCCTCCTGGTTGAGAATGACCTACAGTCCTGGAGCAGGAAATTTTGGGATAACCTTCCAAAACGAGCAGGAGATGAGGAACAGAGGGGGACCCACAGACCCTGGAGGCCCCTTACACTGTACACAGGCTTGATGTCCAGCCTCCAGCCTCATTTTGAGCTCTCCGGGCGATTTAGCTTTGTGACAGAGGTTGCTTGCCCTGACCCTGTAGCTCCCCCTTAGCTTGGGTGCCTGTAGCTCTTGGGGTACCTCTCCAGCGGTACCCCGAAAGTGTGGTGTGGTATCTGGTGCGGAGGTCTTCTCACCGTGCAAGGAGCTTCTGCTCTGAACGGGTGGATGTGGTTTCAGGAACGAACGTCGCCATCCCCACTCGAGGCTCCTCTCGCAGCTGGGACAAGCCCTTGGGCTCAGCCTCCCTCCGGAAATGCTGGTAAATGCTATTTCCCCTCACCCCTCTCCCTGTCAGCTTTTTTGAAGCTGCTGCTCTTAATTTTAAGGGGGTTTTTTGGGGGGGTTTTTTTTGGTTGCATGCCTCAGGAGGAATGCAAGGTGAAAATACCTTTCCTGTTAGTCCAGTGTCCATTGAGATGAAAGGCTCCTGGGATGCAGATGGTGGGGAGTCAACAGGAGAGCAGGTGAGGAGAGGAGGGAGGTGTGTTTGTCTGTGACCGGGGGGGTGGGGTGGGGTGTCTGAAATTGGAGGGTGGCTGTTAAGTTTCTTTCCCTTCACTCCTTCCAGACCAGCTCCCACAAATCTCCCCCACTGGTGGGGACGGTCCCCCTCTTCAACCCTCTCCAGGTCTCTCAGGTGAGAGCATCCTCCTGGGGTGTTGCTGGATAGGGCTGGGGGTTGGCTCCTGGCTTTTGGAGTGATGCCAGGTTGCCTGCAACCTGCTATGGGCAGGGGGATATAGGGGATAGCAGCCTTGGGTGTAAGAGTTTGACGTTCGTAAGAAAATAAATTGGGGGAGGACAGCAATGGGGGGCTGTGATGGAGGAGGAAAATGGCGGGGGGATGCTTGTGGCTGCATCCTGAGGGACAGCGAGTCCGCATTTTTGGGGTACAACCCTCCCTTACACCACCTCTCTCTGTCTGCTTCCCAGCTCGCCACCGCTGCCGCCTCTCGACCCAACCAACCCAGGCTGCTTTCCCAGCGCCGCTACCCCAACCCTCTGTGAGCCAAGAGGGGTGGGGAGGGGGCAGCAGAAATCAACAGCGGTGACCCTTTATGTTTTTTTAAGCAAAATGGTGTTATGTGATTATTTTGAAGGGGGTGGCAGAGGTTGGGCCCGTGGCCCCGGACGACTCTCCCACAGGTTTTGTGGGTGTTGGGGGGTTTAAGGTT